TCATGACATAAAAATTACCAAGTCGCAGTCATGAAAACTGAAATCAGTATTGTTATTATTATATAATTATTATATTATTGTCACTGACAAAAAAAAAAAACAAAAAGCACTGAATTACGAAAAAAATTGTAGGTATTTTGAAATACTTACATCATATTTTATGCGGTCAACAACGAGCCATTTTTATTCTTAGAAAACGTATAAGAAGCATTACATTTATCGCATTTGATCAAATAAGTAAGCTTAAACTTTAACCTCTAATCGAAACACGACCGGGACTCGAATAAAATATGAAACAATTATACGATTTAACACAGTTGTGAAATATTACACGAAAACGACCTGAACCGAATGGACCCACTCGTTATCGATAATGCTCGCCGGATATCAATCGGACCATAATCGTTCAGCTAGTGATAAGACCACCGCCGTGCCAACCGTCTCGTCAACAGCATGCTACGTCATACTGTGGCACGACGACAACGACCGCGACAGCTGACTGTTATAGTTTCAGAATTGCTATCGATATAATTCAACAATCGATTAACCGTCGTTCGGGAGAGAAAAAAACCTATTAAATACCATTTTTTATTTATAAGTACTATAAAATTATTATTTTATTATACGACAAATTATTTTATTATTGCTGTAATGATATACACATTACTTCCTCACAAACTTTTTGATTATAAATTTAATAATGTTTTTCACTGATTTATATTTAATGAATTAGTACATTACAATTTTTCCAACTGAATTCAAAATCGAATAATAATCGATTATTTACCTATTTCACTGATATTTTCATTGATTTTTATTGTTTAAACTTAAAGCATTTTCTGACATAATTGCTTAACGCAGTTTATTTGTTTAGTAGGTAGTTTGCTATTATACGTGTACGCTCTTTTTATAATCTTTTTTTTTTTTAAAACGATGTATTTTAATTCTTTGAATCTGAAAGTGGATGAAAATATTTGTTTTGGGTATAGGTAACTTACAACATAAAAAAACAAATTATTTTTTAAATTTTAAAGATTTAAAACTTTAAAACTTTAAAAGTACACATAGTTCCTATACTACATTGTATTTGATATTATAGTGGTATAAATGGTATAGATAATTAATAGACGTATAGTCTAAATTTAATAATATCGAAACTATTTTTCAACTGTTCTATAAAAATACTTTGATACCCAGTGATTATTATACTGACAAAATAAATCGTAAAAATGTTTGATACAACTAACGTGATACCTAAATGTATTTCAAGCTCAAATATACCAGTCACAATTATTGTTACTGCTTTGTACTGACTACTGAGGTTATTATTATTAGACATTTAGAAGTTTGGGATATGAAAATGATTCAATGTGTTTTTCTTTGTATACAGGCAATATTTCTGTTTAGACATTTTTCATTTCCTTTTTTACAGCGTAATACGACTATTGCGTGTCTTTATAAGTAACTACTGTTCATTTTAATAAGGTATCTGAATACAAGGTATACATTTATCGTTAAGTCTTATCTGTCCGATTAGACATTACTGAATATCCAATTTACCTTAATAAATAATACTTTTTGATAAACAAGGCATATTAGTTACTTAGTGTAAGACGTATAATATAGTTAACACATATTAAACATACATACAATACTATTTAATATATAATATTAGGTATTAAAGTATAATATTTTATGTCACCTCAGCGTCCTTAACACATTTTGCTTCACGGGCCTAATCTATCTTAAAAATATCTTACTAAAATTATTTCCACCTACATTAGGTACATGCACATATTTTATAAAATTAATTTGATGAGGGTTTTATGCATAATTGATATCAAAATAAATTATCGATTTTAGTAATGTTTTAATGTTTTATGATCCTATGCGATTATATAAATTTTAAAATCTTTATTGCTGTTATTGACTCAACCAAGTTATACGAATAAGTAGGTAGATGTGTTAAGTATAGGTACCTAACTTTCAATTTTCTAATATTTTTTTAAATATAGCCAATTTGAATATTACGCATTGTGTTAAAATAATATTCTAGCCAACTTATTATGATTTATTTTATTATGACTTTTTTTGTTAAGTAGTCTGTAGTTATAATAACAATAAATATTTATGACTAAAGGCGCCACCTCGAATATAATTAGTTAACAATATTTACTATTTTTATAAGCACCCAGACCTCATTAACACTCTTCAGTTGATTACCGTATTTTCGAGTTATATTGTACCTACTCGTACATATTTTTAAATTGTATTAGTATAGTTATTTCATTATATTTAAGGTTATATTTTAACACAGGATTTTGTATTTCTAAACACTAAAAAATCATATCTTTAATCAAAATTAATAATTTTTTATTGTTACTTATTAGTTATTACCTACCTAGTAATTAATATCAGGTACCTAGTTATTAGTTATTACTTATTACTGAGGCATATGATTTATAAACTTAAAAAACTTTAGATATATTATATATTAAGCGCGTATGCATTTAAAAACTATTAAATATGTGCTTAATTCTTTTTAAAGGTTTAATTGATAAATATTAATAGAACAAATAGCATTTAAAATAAGAAAATAAAATTATGTAATATAATTATATAAATATATTTTACACTATTGCTAAAAAAAAATAATTATTTGTTTATCTAAATTTAACTAATCTAACTTTTATTTTTAATGATCAGAAAATAGTCAATTATATTGATTTATTGATAAACTTTATAAATCTGTTAATTAATTAGTAATTTATTTTTCTTTGCATCGGTGTTGGGGTGTTGGTGCGTTTAATTTTTTTGATAAAAGAATGTCGTTTTAATAAGTTATTAAAAAATGTGCAATAAAATGCTCAAAAATTAAAAACAACTAAATATGTAAATGGAACACAAAATTACAATTTTGAATTTGTCCTAACATGAAACTAATTTGTACATAGTCGATCTTTTATTGAGATTTAGCTAAACATATATTGAAATACCTATGCAAATGTTAGAAGTTCTCTGCCTTTATTATTATTATTTAAATTAGAATACTAAATACCTTAGTCTTGAGTTTTTATTAGTAAAATAACAATACCTATATAGATACTTACTGGCTTATTGCTATGTCAATGTTGATTAAAAAAAAATAAATAGTCTGTAAGGAACTCGGGTCTTATTATTATATACTTATTATACCTATACGTTTGTGCTATAAGTCAAGATGAAATATGAACGAATGAGTGGTCATTGATAAAAAATCTAGAAATTATAGTTATAAATTACTCACTAATAATTACATTGTTATCATAGGTAATTTATTAATTTTTAAGATTAATGTAAGGTTATTACCTATATTATATACCTAGTTATTACTTATTAAATTTGCAATTTACACTATATATAGCAGCTATATTATCTGGATCTTGAAATTTCCGCTAAGGTAGGTATATAGTTCAGAATAACAATAACTACCTACCTATTTAATTATTTTCATAAATTTTGCAGTTCTACACATTTAGATCATTTAGTTCAATTATAATTTACTCTTGACGGCTTTACTTTAATATGGTACCTTAGGTACCTAATATAATATAATAAGGTAATATTATACACTATTGTAGTAATTTAAGTTAAAAAGTATTCCATAAATTAGAGATAATAAATATTATACATTAAAGCTTATGTCAGTTCATCACGTCACAAATAACCTACTTTACGTCCTATATCTGCGTTTTTCCGCTCAAAAGATAAAAATAAACATAAGACAATAATAATATTTAGCTCGTACTTAAAAATACATAATGTTTAATATGCCCCACACACAACACATACACAGTACATACGCATTATATTCAAGTAAGTTTCGCACCAACACTACGTTACCACATAGTATATGGCACATCGCACATACATGTATTATAATAATACACGCTTACAGCAACACGACCCACATGTCTATATTCCAACTATGCAAAGTATTGTTTTCTATAAATATCTTACAGAGGTAAAATTTAAAAAAGAACGAAATTTTTTAATATTAGCTCAAAAAGAGTTACCAAATATATTTTAAAAATGCCATGCCGAAAATATATTAAGAATTAAGATTTTCAGAAAATTTAAAATATGTAAGTAATTTTAAATACGGTTATTATGTTTGTTTTTTTAGTAACAACATAATAAAAAAATTGTTTGATAAGAAATCCTTATTTTACCCATGAATAAACATTTTCTTCAAAAAAACGTTGAAATAGTGCTTCTCAAAATGTTGAATATGAAACCGTGGGCAAAATAATGCAATTATGTTTAAGTAAAAAACAGAAGTCATATTTTGTTGAAAAGATTACATAGGTAGGTACATTAATTCTTGAAATTTCAACTTAATCTTTAATCACTTGAAATGTAAATCATAATTAATTTAAATGAATTGCATTCGGTCATTAGATAATTGTTATTTGAATACCTATTCTTATTACCACTACTAACCTATGTATCAATAAAATCACACAGAAAATATTGTTTTAACATAATAATATGTAATATTTATTAGATAAACATATTTCACGTATCGTCAATTTATCATACACAGAAAATTTAAATAGTTATTGTAATATGTTTAATGTTAATTTAAACACTTTTTATAATTCATTAAAGGTATTTTATTTCATGTTTATCATTAATTAATTGGTACTCAGTACATACATAGAACATTAAATTTCCTACTTATTTTCAGTACTTAATTTATTTTCTTTTTTCTTTTAATAATAATAATTTTAACAATTTTAAGCTAAATTTGATTTTTCTCAGCAATTTTTAGTTGAACAAATAGAATATTAGATACTGTAATTTAAATCCTTAAAATTTTCCAATTTCTAAATAATAGAAACAATAAAAGAGCACTCCTTTTATAATTTAATTTGAAGGACTTTGAGGGAAAGGCATAAAATAAAACAAATGATAACTTTTTTTTACAAATCAAAAAGTATATAATATATTTATGCAGGTAATTTTAATTTTAATACATATAAAACAAATATTTTAATAGATGAGTGACGAATGTTTAATTTTAGAATAAGAATAACTAATGTTTATTTCCAATTAAAACAAAATAACAATACCTAGTTAACCTTAATTATTACTCAATATATATTAAGATAAGAGGTTAAAGTTAACAAGTTAAATACCTTCACCATAATATATCTTTAAACCAGGATAGTGTAGTATTTGCTTCCTCTAAAAAATAAAAATTTAAACAATTTAAATTAAACAAATTAATCATTAGCATTATATTAATTACACAAAAAAATAAAATGTAAAAAAAGATTTACATCATGTCAATAATACTAAAGGAAAAAAGAAATTCAAAGTTAGGATTTTGTAATTCTAAAAAAAACCACCTAAAATAAAGCAAATAGTTAACACACATTGGTAAAAAAAATAAAAATTGGTATCCAAAAATTTCAAATACACATTATACGTATATTAAAAACACTTTTTGTAAATTATTAATAAAAATAGGCTAAATATGCAACTAAGAAACTTAAAACACCTACAAAAAAAGTACTAATAAATCAAAATAAAACATTATGTATTATATTTTACATAAATCAAACCTATATGTGGCATAGTTTCATAGTAGACCAATAAAAAAAAAAAAAAATCAAATACCTTCTAAATTAGGTTTATAATTATAATAGAATAGTAAACAATATGAAATAGAATAAAATATAAATATTTTTTAACTTTATTATATTTTATAATATATACTTAAGATTTTTTACCTGTAGTTTTAAGTGAATTTTCTTCCAACGTTATGGAATTATTTTGACGACTTTGATGAAGTTGCATTTGTGACATATGTCGTTGTTCTTGATTAGTAAACAATTCGGCATCTCTTCTATATTCTAAACTATGCAATTCTTCTAGCCTAGAGTTAATATTAATAAATAAATAATAAATATATAATACAATTTATTGAATATAGAGAATAATTATCTAAGTAACAGTGGAATGTTTCAAGTTTCTAGCATTAATATTTTTTGAATTCTATTTTAAAAAAATAACATTGTTCAACCAAATACTATAATATTATGTAAGAATATCCCGTATTTTCAAAATTTAAACTTCTAACACTCATAAAAAATGATATGTATTTACACTAAATTATTATTACTTTTTTAATTTTAGTATTAAAATAACGATGAGATATTTATCAACATTAATAGAAAAAAATTCAAATGTCTATTAACAGTTCAAATATAAAAATCATAAATTGTGTTTAAAATATAAACAGCAGTAAAAATTTCAAATAATTTTGAATTTTTATTTTTTAATTATAATAAAATAATAAAATTAATTTAGTCAAAAACTGATTGATGTAAAAACATCTAAATAGAATATATAAGTTACATTAAAAAATATAATCAAAAATTTAGAAGCTAAGTGGATCATTGATGCAGATATTTTTAAATTCACCAACAATAGAGTGATAATATAATTATTATTCTATTTAATAAAAAAAATAAAAACAGCAGTTGATTAAAAAAATTAGAAATTAATTTTATAAAATAGTTTACTTGTCATCCATGGTTTTTAAATCAAATTTTTCATCAAACAAATTTGATGTACCCAATTGCGACTTATTGTCGGACAAGAATTGTATTTGTCTGATAGAATTTGATAGTTTTAATTGTAGCATATCTCGTTCTTCTAATAACTAAAAATAATGCATGCATATAAGTCAAAATATGGTATTAGTAGAAAAACTAACTTCTTAAATATTTACCCGGGTCAATTCAAGAGTTAATTCATCACATCTAACATCTCTCTCATGTACAGCTGTTAATGCTCTATCCAGTTTGTCTTGAACTAATCTTAAATCATCAACATTTTGATTTAATTTATCCAATTTAGATATTTTAACAGAAAGAAATTCAATTAATCGATCACGCTCAGCAATGGACCGTAGTAGCTGTTCTTTTTCTTCATTTTTTAATAAAGAAGATTGTGTTGCTTCTTCACTAGAATTCAAAGATTTATTTATTGATGATTCTTCAGGAATGAAAGTATTGTTGTCTTTAACAAAATTATCTTGAGCTAATTCTTTATGAAGTTCATCAGTAGATTTATTATTTTTAACAGATATGAATTCTAATAATGTTTCTGTGCAAGATTTTAAGTCTGACATTAAATCAATTGGTACATTACTAGAAGAAACTTCAATACTATTTATATTAGTTAAAATAGAAGTAACTAGTTCATGAATAGTTTGAACACAAGTTTGTAATCGTTTAATTTCTGATTCTCCTAAATTAGAACTATAAAAACTGTCACAACATTTAGCATCAACTATTTTATCTAATTTTTTGGATTGAATCACTACCCAATCACTATCATTTTCAATTACTGGCCATTCACATAACACTCTTGAATAAGCTGAATCAATTAAACGTTGAGTTTCTTTCAATCTTCCTTTTAGAACTGTATTTTGTTCATTAATATGTAAAGAAGTTGTATTTGTATCATTCAAAGAATTCTGGTCATCCAAATTACTTTTGAGTTGATCATAATCATTTTGCAATATTTCATGTTTTTCCTTAAGTGCAGTCAATTGACGATAAGCTTCAAGTTTTTCACCCATAAGATTTTCAATTTCCGACTGACAATTAATTATATCTGCTTCGTGCGTTTCATTTTCATTAGAATATTGATCATTTAGTTGTTTATACTTAGAATTTACACATTCCAAATCATTTGTCAAGTTAACAATTTTTTTTTCCAAATCAATGATTTTAACGCGGCATTCTTTGAATCGAGATTTTAAATTTTTGTAACGTACTAGTAACATCTTCGAATCACCATTTTTTGTAGAAGTCAATATTTCTGAATCGTTTAATTTTTTCAAACATAATTCCTCTGACACTTTTTTCTTATTTTCGTCATTTTCTTTAAAGTTTTCTATAGTTTGAATAAATTCATTTTGTGAGTTTAAATTTGAATATTTATCAGTTTCCAGATCAATAGGTTGTTCTACGGTTTTCAATGAAATCAATCTCTGTTGTTCACTAACCTGATTGTGTAACAGTTTATTTTCATTTTTTATTTCATGCACATGGAACTCAAGTGTATTTAAAGAATTCAATAACTCTCCATCATCTTCCTCATCAGTAATAACCAAATCCAAATCTTTTCGGATATTTTTTAAAAATTGTTTTAATGTATCATTTTCATTTTTAATATATTTAACATCTAAATTTTCTAAAGATAGTAGACTGTTTATTGCAAGTCCATTTAAATCTGTTAATACTTCTTTATTTTCTAAAGTACAAGAAGACATATTTGATTGTAATATATAATTATCATTTCGTAATTTTTCTATTAATTTGAGTAGTTCATTATTTTGTTTTTGATATTCATTTTGTGTGGATAATTTAACTTTTTCTACAGCTTCAGATACAAATTGTTCAACTTCAGTACGTTCAATTAATTGTGCACTAGTACGCTTTTGTGAATCATTTAAATTTATAATGTATTCTAATATATGAATAGAACCAAAGACCATTTTTTTAAGACAAATTTGCAGTTCATTATCATCTAGAAAAGTATTATTGCAAATTGAATTAACAACTTCAAATACATCAACATCAATCTCAACACCAAAATTATCAAAAGAAAATAATGATGCCAAACCCATCAAAATACAACGAAGTATATGTACGTTTTGATTTTGTAAATTTGATTTAACTACAATTTTATTTAACAATTCATAACACTTTTGGAGTTCTATATCACAGTTTCGTACAACAGTACTTATTTGTTTATTATTTTGAATAACATATGCCAATCTCTGATTCAAAACATTTATTTCTTTATTTAAAGATGCAACTTGCTGCTGTAAAAGTGAACAATTGCTTTCAGATTCTTTTAAAGCTTTAATTTTTACTTTCAGTAGTTGCTTTTGTTTTTGATATCGATCTGATAATAATTTATTATCTTCCACCGCAATATTAGTTCCATTTAATTTATTCAAAAGCATATTATTCTCATTTTTAACAACTTCCAACTCATTAGTTAATTGTGTAGACAATGTATGAAATTCTTTGATAGTATTATTCAATTTAAATATTTCTGTATCTCTTTTGGTAAGACAATCATTAAACTCTAAACGTTCACATTTAAATAAGTTATTTTCTTTTAAAATAATATTTAATTGATTAGTTAATTCATTTACTGACGTAACACTATCTTTGAGTTTATTGCTACAAGTTGTAATTAAAACTTGATCATCTTCATGTTGTCGAATAAAATTAATTTTATTTTGTTCGTATTCATTTGAAGCTTCTTTCATAGCTTTTTCAAAAGTTTCACGCATGTTTTCAATAACTGCCATTAAATCAGAAATACGTTCTTCATGTGTGCCATTATCAATTTTTAATAATTTTACTTCTTCCATGGATTTTTCAATTTGTTCAGTTAATTTAACATTAGCATCATTTAATTCATTGTTATTCATTTTTAATTCATCAATTACTTTTTCTAAGAGAGTCATACGTTCTTTATCATTTAGGTATGCATCTTTCAATTGAATCCAACGACTTTCTGTTTGTTGAGCATCTATTATTTGATCTTGAAGTTGTTTATTTAATTTTTCATTTTCAAAATTTAAACGTTGAATTTCGAATTCTTTTTCTGAAAAAAAAATAAAATAATAATACATATTATATGTAATTAGAATAGTTTAAAATATAAGGTTAATAGTTATTTTTACATTTCTAAGTTATTTAATAGTACCTGTTTGCTGAGTATCCATTATTTGATCTTGAAGTTGTTTATTTAATTTTTCATTTTCAAGATTTAAACGTTGAATCTCAGATTCTTTTTCTAAAAACAAAAAAAATAATAATACGTATTATGTGTAATTAGAATAGTCTAAAATATAAGGTTAATAGTTATTTTTACATTTTTAAATTATTTGAAAGTACCTGTTTGCTGAGTATCCATTATTTGATCTTGAAGTTGTTTATTTAATTTTTCATTTTCAAGTTTTAAACGTTGAATCTCAGATTCTTTTTCTGAAAAAAAAAATAATAATACGTATTATATGTAATTAGAATAGTCTAAAATATAAGGTTAATAGTTATTTATACATTTCTAAATTATTTGAAAGTACCTGTTTGCTGAGTATCCATTATTTGTTCTTGAAGTTGTTTATTTAATTTTTCATTTTCAAGTTTTAAACGTTGAATCTCAAATTCTTTTTCTGAAAAAAAAAATTAATAATACGTATTATATGTAATTAGAATAGTCTAAAATATAAGGTTAATAGTTATTTTTACATATCTAAGTTATTTGAAAGTACCTGTTTGCTGAGTATCCATTATTTGATCTTGAAGTTGTTTATTTAATTTTTCATTTTCAAGTTTTAAACGTTGAATCTCAAATTCTTTTTCTGAAAAAAAAATTAATAATACGTATTATATGTAATTAGAATAGTCTAAAATATAAGGTTAATAGTTATTTTTACATATCTAAGTTATTTGAAAGTACCTGTTTGCTGAGTATCCATTATTTGATTTTGAAGTTGTTTATTTAATTTTTCATTATCAAGTTTTAAACTTTGTATCTCAGATTCTTTTTCTGAAAAAAAAAAAAATAAAAAAAAATAATAATATAAATTATATGTAATCAGAATAGTTTAAAATACAAGGTTAATAGTTATTTTTACATATCTAAGTTATTTAATAGTACCTGTTTGCTGAGTATCCATTATTTGATCATGAAGTTGTTTATTTAATTTTTCATTTTCAAGATTTAAACGTTGAATCTCAGATTCTTTTTCTAAAAACAAAAAAAATAATATATATTTTATAATAAACTGTTTATATGAATTATAGTTATAGTTACATTCAATGTATATTTTTTTCTATTATTTATTTTATCTTTACATTTATTCTTAAATTATTATTATATTCAGTAACTAGAAAACTCTGTTTAATGCTTAACATATTTTCTAGTTTTTTCCATAAAAATAGTATGTTTGTAAAAAAATGAAAATCCCCCATAGATATTTTATCTATAATACTTACTTTTAAAATATAAATATATATTATCCTCCTAAATACTCATTGTTTTTTATTTTATTTTTTTACCAAAACTATTATAGTAAACTAGAAAAGATGATTAAAATCTTGAACACAATAGTTTAAAGGTCTTGGAAAAGTCACGTTCCTACTTCCTATCACAAGATACATTACAGTATCCACATAACAACCAAAAATGGTTGATGTGGTCTGGTCCTCCAGGTTTAGGGTTGAGCATCAGGTTTAAACCTGACCACATATAAACATCACCATTAAGAAACCATCAAAAAAGTTTCAGAATTAGACCAATCGTGGAAAGTCACTTAAATCGGAAATAATGAACTACATTTGAGAACTTGGAACATTAAAACATTTAAATCACCGACAAAATATTGCAACTGAAATATAGCAAAACCAATATATCACATGGAATAAATATCGCCAGCACACACATCGCCAACATGAAGTATAGCAATAATTTAGTTAGAAATAAATAATATAGATTATTGATTGATATTTTATAATAGTTATAAATATTTTTGTAAAATTCAAATTTCAAAGCATATAATATCGTACAAATATATTATAGTAGAATTGATAAAAATATATATAATTTAATGAAATTGATATAAGCATTAAAAAAAAATTTTAAAAGATAAATAATAAAATATGCAAATTAATTAATGGAAGTAGGTATATATTAAATTAAATACCTTGAAGATGATCTTCAAACTCTCGACTATGATAATCTACTACTACTTTCTTTACTTGTTCACCCCAACTGACTGTTTTGTTTTTTTTAATTATTGGTATATTTGAATTAACAGAGCGATAATAATTTAGGACAGTATTATTTTTTTAGTTGTAAAATGCTGTCAAGGCACCAAAACATTTACTTGAAACTCAAAATATCTATAAATTGTACGTATTGACTCTCTGAGTGATAAGGTTATTAAAATAACAGAAATATTAAAAAAATAAAATAAAACTTTTTCTACAGCAAATATATAAATTTCAATTTTTTATTAATAGCTCAAAAAAGAAACAAAATATTTTGAAGAATATACCAAAAATAGAAAAATGATAATATAAGCAATTAAATCACTACACACAGAATTTAGAATTAGATGTCGATTTAGAACATTTTTAAGTATTTGGTAAAAAACTACTAAATTATTTGAAATATGTTCTTAAAATTCAATTTAAGATAATCAAATTTTTACTGTTAGATATAAAATGTAATGGAAGATAGTAAAACTGTATTTTTAATTAATAGTTTAGTTGTATACTTCAAAAATGTATATAATATTTACTGTCAATTTCCATTAATAAACTATCATTTTCTTGAAAATGCATTGATTTGCTCTCCAACAAAGCTACATGGTTTGATAATACATCGTTTTCTTGTTGTAAGCTTAGCAGTTCTTTTTCCATATCTAATACATAAATGTATACATAAAAAATATAATTAATTAATAATTTTAAGAAAAAACAACTTACCACCAATAAGATGTTTTGAAGTTTCTTGATTGTGTTTTAGAATTAACTTCTTCTAAAAAAAAAAAATGTTTTTATTATTTTAGACTTCTAGAAACTAATATTTTAAGTTTTTTTTATTCAAAGAGTTAAATATACTGGTTTTTTTTTAATAAAACGATTGTTTGACAATATTCATTACATTAGTTATATATCTAGTGTTTTCTGTAAATAAAAATTTTAAATATCACTGATATATTATATTATGACATTGTATATAATATACACAGTCAAATTCTAATAAATAAAAATTTTAAATTAAAGTTATTACAAGATCTGTTCAAATCTGTTTTGAGTAGCACGGTTGAATGTGTTGTTCACAAGTCTACCTCCAAGAGCCCACATTGAATCAGACTTATTATATTAAAGTTTTGAAACATTTGAAGAACATCATTTGTCATAAAAGTTCAGAAATATGAAAGAATGTGACTAGTTTTAAACAGTGTTTCATAAAGAACGTAGTTTTTAATTTTGCTATATTTTATTTTATAAGAAATACTTTATAAATAATACATATTGTTTCACTATGAGTTGAGGTTTAATTGTGAAACACAACACACAGTGACTCTGTCAGTGCAATTACCTTCTTCTTTTTTTCACTTTCGTAAATTGTTCAATACAATAATTAATATACTTGGTATATGCCAAAGAGGCATATTTATATACATTTATCTAGTATCAAACTAAAAATAAGTGCATTATCTATTTATCTATATTTTCTCATGAATTTTTAACAGTATTTTAAATCTCAAGGAAGCCATGAGAATTTCTAAATTGTAATATTTTACATATTCATAACTTGCTTAAACATTTAAATATCTTTAAAAAACTCATACAAAATAAAGCATAGATCAATGTTCTTGCCAATAGTTTAATAATAATAATTGAGTGTTTTATTCTCCCAATTATTAAAGGTTGTTAAATAAAATTATAACTGTTTAACACACATTTATACATAGATAATGTTTATGAGATGGATAAAACACATGTATGTGTAATGTTCTTTTAAATATTCTAATACATTATTATCTTACCATAATATTAATACACATAAAAAAATGGTTAATTAATAAATATTTTATACATTTTCACTGTCATTTTCATTAGAACATTTATTCAAATAAAATTAAAGGAAATGTTACAAAAATTCTATAATTCTTCATCATAGCTAATAGCTTGTTTAATTTCTAATTAATTAAATTTTAAATAAATAAAATCATGAACACTAGATATTAAAAGATAAAAATACGAATAAAGTATTAAATTTTTAATATTCCATATTACATATTAGTAAACATTTTAAATAAAATAATCATCTTAAAATTCTAAATCAACTGATTTAATTATTTCTTAATAGCTATCCATGCCAACATTAATTATATTTGTATCTGTACAAAATAAACAAAAATCTAATTAACTGACTTAATTTATTGAAATGGGATGATAAATTCAACACATATCAAACACATTAATAACAATTATAATAGTTAAGCAATGGTGACTCACAGGCTAACTTAATCTATCCCACAAACAAGAAATTAATTTTTAATTGATAGTGAATTTAATTAAAAGCTTTTATCAATTTAAATTTTTTATTTCACCTTTATTTTCTTTAGATACACACACACACACACACACACACACACACACACACACACACACACACACACACACACACACACACACACACACATATATATATATATAAATGTTATACTTTCCAAAAGTATTCTTAATTCTTAAAGAACCCTTCAAAAATGTTAATTGATCTCTGGTTTAATTATTCTTAACATGTACTGGTAAATAATATATCTTATGTTAAAATGAATGAAAAATACTTAATTATCTATAACATACTTTAATCAGAAATATATGTGATGAAGTGTGATTTAAAAAAGACTACGATCAATACTAAAATATTATTTTCTTTATGGATAGGTAAATCAAATATCAGTGTGATATACTTAAAAAAACAACAAATGCTCCAAAATCAATAAAAATCTATACTGAATATAGTTCTCAATTGATAATCAATAAGATAAAAATATTCGATTTCCCAGTTAATTTGCACTAGAGAACTTTAATACCATACAAGCCAATATTTTATTAAACAAGTTTGGTAATTGCAAAATATGTTTTAACTTCTAGAACTAAACACTAAATTATAGTCTTAAATTAAAACTAATTTATCATTACATTACATAAAAAATGTATTTACAGCAACAACATACTTAAAAAATTTTCTTGGGTGAACCATAACAATTAAATTAGTTATTACAAATAAGAAAATTAATGAAGTAAAAATGTTTGCTTACACTTTAATAATACCAAAATCAAAGAAATTAAAATTTGAAAAAGTAAAAAACCAGTAGTTTTTGTTACATTCAATTACTATTGTGTTAAAATAATCTTAAATTGAACTGATACTAGGTAACTAAATTAAATAAATACTCATTAGATATTCAATAAATAAAAAAAATTTACTTACTTCATTTTCATAGTTCATACTTAATTTTTCAATTTCCAATTTTAGATTTATTTCATTTTTTCTTAGTTCAGTATTTTCTTTATCAATTTTAATATTTTTTTTTTTTAATTTATCACAGAGTCTATGAACATCCTCTAAGCTAAATAAAATGTAAATAATATTTAAAACATTAATATTAAACTTACTGATTTTTATTTTGTACTAACTTATTTCTTAATTCTTCTACTTCTTCTGAAATATAATTAATCTTTTCTGTACATCTTAAACGTTCGTCATTGATGATTTCAATATTTCTTTTTTTTAACTCTTCCACCATTTCTAAATGTATTTTTTTATTTTGCACTATACTCTTGTTTAATGCTTCAATTTTATTAATTTTTAATTGCAATAACATATCTTTTTCAGTAATATTATTCTATTTTTATAAAAAAAAAAATAACAAAAATATATTACTAAGTAGGAAACTAATTAAAATGTAATAATTATTAATAATTTATATAAATATATATAATATAACTTACACGGTAATTTTCAAGTTTTTCATTCAATTCAGCAATTTGACTCTTCAAAGATTGTATATTTTTTTCATGAAGTTGTGTTGAAATAATGTCTTCCTAAAATATAAAATTGTACTCTATTAAAATTAAATGTGATAACACGAGAAAGAAGTATAATATATTTTATTCAAAATTCGTTTGGTTCATAAATCTATTGTGAAATTTGATAACAATTAATAGTTGTTTTTTGAATTCATTATTTTAACCGCTAATTTCATAATTGAAAACTGATTTACAATTTTAATTTCTCAACTCACTAGATTACTATGATTTGAATATCAACATGATATTCAACAATATATTTTGTTGATTTGATTTTTTCAAGATTAAAATATAATTTAGAATTGTTGACGTCCTATTTTTACTTGTTCTATATACTACTTTATAATCACTTCTATGAAAGAAACAAATTTTACACTAAGACTAATTGCTTCATTTAAATATTTATAACAATATTATAATCAAAACTATTTTATCACTCAATTTCATTAATTTATAAGAAAAAATGTTTTTATTGTATTTATTTAATTTGTAAGACATTAAATATGATGTAAAAATTTTTTTTTTTAAAAAAATGATTATTTAAATATTTTAAATTAAGTATAAATCCAAATCCTTCAATTAATTACAATAAATAATCAAAAAATATTTTACATAATAAAATATGATTTGATATTAATTTAACATAAACCAGGTAATTTAAACATAATTATGAATAATAATTAATTACCAATTAAGTATAAAAAAACAAAATAAAAATAGAAGAAAAACATTTAAGCTAAATAAATTACGGGCTCTGATTATAAACTTGATTTTTACCAGAACTATTATTTTAATATCCAAAGAAAGAACTTTAAAACTTATATTAACTAAAAATAAAACTTATATTAGATAACTTAAATATTTAACATTTAAGAAAAACTTACATAATATGCTGTGTTAAGTTTTTCTTTTTCTTGTTGTTGCACATCCAATAGATTTTCATCATTCGCTTGATCGCCATTATTACATTTTTGCTCATCTATTTTACTATTCTCAACTAACTTTCTGTAATAAAAGTTATGTTTTTATAATATGATGTATTTAAGAATTAAAAATCAAAGAAATCATCCTGTTAATTAATAGAATTTGAGTTTACATTATATGTTCAATCAACTTTTACTAAAAACTATTATATAAATTTTGTAAAAGAAAGTTATTGTAACATTATATTATTTATTATTATTAAAACTTATTAGTCAGTGCAAATATACTATATAATGGTATAACTAGTTCTTTATAAAAATAACTTATACTAGCCTAAATTAGTTTCAATATTTTGAGTATTTTATTGTATAAAAATTAATAATGTATAAAATAGGAAAGTTTCAAATTCTAGGGATTAATATTTTTTGAATTAATTAAAATAATATTATCGTTTATGGATAAATTATTATTTTATGTTTAAATACAAAATTTTGTCTAAACTTGAACTCATAAAAATTATGATGGTTTTATGTCAAACTTTTTTATTTTTTATTCTAATTAATATTATTTATGAATAATCTTGTACTTAACTTTCAAACTTAAATGAATAAATCTTTACAATGTAATTATTAAATAAACTACTATTTAGTGTTACAATTAATAGCTAAAGTACATAAACTTAAAAAAATACTAATAACAACCAAAAAACAAACTCATGTTTAATTAAATAGCTTTAATAGCTTTAAAATTTAAAACTGAAGGAATAGTTTAATTTTGATCCAAATCATTATTTTTATAGCTTTAATAAATAACTTTTCAAAAAAAGCATTAGTCATAAAATAGAAATTTTACACAAACTAAAAAAAACTTAATAACTTGAAATATTTAATATTATTTTTATTATAATGATGACTTATACTGATTTTGAAATAATCAATTCAATTCAATTAAATATAATACTAAATAATTATCAATCATACCTGTCATTTTCCAAAAATTGTCGGAATAACAAAATTTTGTCACTCGTATCAGAAATAACACTATTACTATGTATAGACTCTATACTCTCTGCTGAAGTGATGGGTAATGGAGTATTACACCGACTAGAAGATGTGTATCTACCATGATATTTTTCAATGCGTTTAGCAATTTCCTAAGAAAAAAAAAACAATAATCTATTAAATTAGAAATATAAAATTATAATCACAAACAAAAATGTAAAACCATATAATTTTGTTTATAAACATGATTTTAACTAGGTTAACCTATTATGTACCTACATTATTTTTTATAGGTACAAATTTTGTTAAATTTAATAGGTATTATATAATATGTGAAGTTTATTTTTTTTTTAATAATAATATCTTAATTCTAACATTTAACTCAAGAACATGATATAATTCAATCATACATTAAAAACAAAATCTTCTAAACAAGATAAATTATTATCCTAATAATAATAGCTAAGTTATTAATAATCAAAGGTTGGGACACAAAATGTAAAACACTAAAAGGATAAAATAAAACCTTACAAATTTTGAAATATATGTTATACTTAATGATTATAATCTATAAGATAATATTTTAATTTTTAGATTTAAATTAATTAAAATAAATAAATAAAAGTTTAATCTCAAGTTGAATTTATCTACAGAACAATACTATTAAAAATAATGAGAAACAAAAATCTGTTCATTTTTTTTCTACATAACTTTCTTTATTAAACTATGATTTATAAAAATCTAAAATGTATCTACTTTAATCGCAAATTATTCAATCCATAATAAACATTAAAATTGCTTAAAATAGACAACTAAAAATATAGGTGCTGCTTGGATAAGCGGTCTGCTAACGGCACATAGTCTACAATCATATAATATGTAGACGCATATCCGAGCAGCACCAAAATATATTTTATACCTAACAATTTAAATATTGAATTGTGTTTTTTTTTCAATAGAATAGAATAAAAAAAGATCTTATAAAAATGTTAGATTGAATTAAAAAGAAAAATTAAGTAATCCTATATAGGCAAACCCAAATTGAAATGGCAAACTACCGAAAAAATTTGGGACTGGTCATGATTATAATTAAGTTAAGCTAAAAACTTTTATCTTAAAATAAAGATATAATGTATTAGTATATGTATATGTATATATATAATCTTTTTGGTTTGGAGTGTAAATAAAATGAGAGATACAACATTTTAGTCAAATGGGCCTATAGGTGATTTTATAGTTGAATATTTTCAAAAAACCCCAAATTATTGAATATTAAGATTGAAGTCTTTGTTGTTTATCATATATAATACAATCAAATCTCCACCTATGAATGTGCCGATAAAAATTTAAAATCTCGGCGGGACGAAAAGTCTCAATCCGGCACTGTATATAGGTGTACTAGATTTTATATTTAAATTCATAATTTTAATTATATTTAAAACATACTGCAACCAACAAGAACCACTCTATTTGTCAAGAAATTTAAGTCACAATAACTGAATATTTTGAACACTTGAGACTTATCAGAAATCAAATTTTTTACTTTCAGTAAGTATTTGAATTTTGTATGATACAAAATATTATGTTAATTTTTTGAAAGCAAAGACATTATTCATTATTTCTGAATGAAACTATAGAAATTAAGTTTAAATTTAAAACTGAATTTATTTAAAATGAAAAATTCGAAAAATAATAATTGAGAATTTGCATACTACCTAATATATCTAATATATAAAAATTTCGTGTCACAAAGTTTGTTATCAAACTTCTCCGAAACGGCAGGACCGATTTTCATGAAATCATTTGTGTATATTAAGTAAGTCTCAGAAAGTGATGTAAACTATTTTTCATACCCTAGATGTAAAGGGTGGCTCACCACAAATATTTATAACAACTGTTGGATATCGGCGATGGAAAATAAAAAAATAAAAAATAAAATATAAAAATAATAAATAAAATAAGATACAACAGTTGTTGCCAGGGAACTATATGTGATAAATACGCGGTCGTTTAATATTATGAAAAAAGATGGAAACGTAATCTATGTAAATAATTGTACATAAGTACATAGAGCATTTACATCCAATTCATTCCTTCGTCTAGCATTCGAGTATGGGCCCGATATTAAATATTATGCTCATTTGAAAGTAGAGATTGGTGCTATGGACAAGGAATGTCCGCATTGTAATGTGCATAAGTTCAAAAATGAGCCAGCCGGTATGTGTTGCGCGTCAGGAAAAGTGCAACTACTGGAAATTGAAACACCACCTGAACCATTGAACGGTTTACTTATCAGTACGGGTCCAGATTCTAACCTGTTCCTGAAGTCAATTCGAACATTCAATTCATGTTTCCAAATGACATCGTTCGGAGCAACAAAAATAGTTAAAAATAATGCTGCAAATGGTCAACAATTTAATTCAACATTCAAAATCAAAGGCCAAGTTTATCATAGAGTGGGCTCATTGCTACCAAACGAACCACATAAATTTTTACAAATTTACTTTATGGGCGGTGAAGATATTTGGTGTTTTGTTATTTTTATGGGCCATCATCATTCACAGTGCTCCATTCCTCAGTCATATACCAGTATACGACATTCCCTCTCACTTACAATAATTTAATTATTTTTTATTTGAATACCAAAATATTCATTAGATATAATTTATATGGCAAAACAATGTTTGCCGGGTCAGCTTGTATATTATATATATTTATTTCTATGAGATAAATGTATTAACTAATATTTACTTATTTTAATCGTACATCCAAAATTTTCTATAAAGTATCAACTATAATATTTATTCATTAAGTTACAATATGAATAATAAAAAAGCAATTTAACAATTAAAAAAAAAAATAATAACTGAATTCTGTATTAAAATGTTTAACTACCAAACACAAATGTTAAAGTGAGTTAAAATTTACAAGTACATGAAATATTTTAATATCTAGAATAATTACATTTAAAAATTTTTTTTACGCAATCGGCAATATATTTTATTTATAAATAGATAATAGGTAAATAAATAAATAATTAAGTTTTTACTTTTTTATGCATTTCAAAAAACATAGAAACCAGAGAAGATGCTAATACGTATAAAAATATTCAAAATATGGCAATAGTTGTTTTTTTTTTATTTCAAATAATACAAAAGAATGTGTAGAAATCCAAAACAACTCAAAAATACTTATAAATGACCAATGTTTAGAAAATTCATTAAAAAAATTGACTCTTCCACGTTGAATGTATAATAAATTAACTTGTTCTTATACACATATACTACTTATACTTATGGCTGTTGTCATTATCACTAAAACCTTACAGAATACTCCAGATTTAATTTATATAATAAAATGTGATACAATAATATCAGTCAGTGCTTAGTTTTCCCAATAGTTTTTACACTCATTTTTGTAATTAGATCTTGTAAGGATCCAAAAGCAAATTAATATAAATAAATGGTAATTCATAAGAAAATTACAAAACATTACAATATAATATAGTAAATTCTATATAATGTAATAAAACTAACATAGATACATTTATTTATATTTCATTAAAGAGAGGATTTTATTAAATTACATAGACTTTTATAATTAAGATAAGATTTTAAGAAAGTAATTATATTAAACCATTGACTTTATTAACCAGGAATTACAATAAATATTACTTATATATACATCCTAATACATGCCATTGTGGTTATTATCAACAAAAAAATAATTATCCAAGAAATTAAATAATACTAACTTGGGCCTTAAGTTTGATCTGATTTGTCGTTAACTCCTCATCATTATCATCACTATTATTTGAGCTTTTCTGTTCCATATTGGTAAAGCTTCTTTAAAGTGATAGTTTTCTGTTTTGTAAATTATTCCAAAATTAAGCTTACTCCATGACAGCTAAAAGTGTTATAGAATAATTGAGAATAGGTATAATTTTTTAGATAAATCATAATGAAAAATATTGCATTAAAATAAAATTGAATAAATAACTATTTAAACTTTAAAGTAATGATGATTTTAATAGTTACTATTTGCGTAAAAATTATACAACTAAAAATTAAAAACACAACGTTTTCAGAATAAAACAATAATTATGTGTAGCTAATAGGTACCTACTATCTATTAATTAATTATAACATTTATCAATGTTTTAAAGGCACGTCATAACACGACATACGTACGAATACACAAATGGATAGGTCTAAATCTTCCAAACAGAGTTCAATATTAAGTGATTGTGGAAGAGATAAGCCTTAAAAACACCACGAGATCATTTTTTTAAATTGTTATTGATAGTGCACACTACATAATGATAACAAATAATAATCAGCCGCACTCTGCAACGATCATGACTATGATTGAATATATATCATTAACCAGTCCATATTTTCATAATATCATCAGTAAAATATTAGCTTAAAAAATTACGTAACTACTGAGTAGTAAAGTATTAACTAACAATTTTAAATAATCCGTATAATACTAGTTTATAGTGTTTGTACCCTTATCACTTTGAGGTACTTTAAACTTCTATACTATTAAAACGTATAAATACAAAACACCGAATAATGAATTGAAATAAAAAAATGTAAATACAAATTGTAGTTGTAATTAAAATATGTGTTACGTAATCGATGTTTTTGTATAATAATTTTATGAAACTCGGTTATTATTGATTTAATCGTAGTTTTTATATAAATATATTAAATTTATTTTGTATAAAATTAAAACGTTTTATTGCATAAAATGGAAGAAATTGATGCAATAATATTTTGTACTCTAAAAGAGATTGGTTGGTGAGTTTCTTTTATTTAATTTAAACTTTAAATAAGATAAATTTTATGTATTAGTTATTGGTAATATATAAATATATTTATTATCATATAAATATAATTTTTAATGGGTTCTTATTAGTATTTAATAGGCAGGTACTTGTCAAAAATATTTTCCAGCCGCTTGTGATTATGTACTGAAGACACCTACTCTTTAAAATGTTTGAAATTTTACTTGCCATCCAGTAGATAGTAAACTTAATTTTTATTAAAATATTTTTTTGAATACAGTTAAAATGTTTGTCACTTATTGTCGCTTAGATTACACCTGATTTTTAGAAAACTATGTAATACAAATATCATTGAAAATAATGTATTAGGCATTCAAATATTTTAATTTAATGGCTTACTTTAACTAATTAATGACACCTTTAAGACCAAAACAAAAATATATTTGAATTTAATAATAATTTTTGTGGGAAAAAGTGTAAAGAATCCATTAGAGTTTAAGAATAAATTTGGTGTAAGAACAACGTTTTTACATAAAAATCCATGATACCATTTTAGTTTACACACATTTTAGCACCTACCTAATAACTATTTTAATCAAAAAATTTATTAGTTGATGAACTATCAAATTATTTTTATTAATTATATTTTAAATTTAATTTTTTTGTTAAGTGATATATTTCTAACTTACCACTTGTTGAATATTTTTTGAATATCACTAAATTATAATTTTTAGTTATTTTTATCAGTATAATCTACTTTAGTAACGATCTACTCTACTTAGAAGAAAATAATATGTTTACTAGTATTACAAATATTTGCTTTATATTAATATTTGTACTTTTTATAAAATTAGTTTAAGGTATTAAAATAATGTAGCTTATTAGAGATTGCATGAATTTCTATATATATAATATAATAAATTATATTTTAAGTAACAAATTTCTTTTTTTTTCAGTGAATTCTCAGAAAATGAAACTGCCTTTACAAATATTACTCAAGAAAATTTAATAAAATCTATAGTAATGTGCTTACAAAAAATTCAACCAACAATAAATTTATCTTTTACAATTCCTCGATCTATGTCTGCTAGATATCAATATGGTATCACTGTAGCAGATGCTTGTAAGGTAAAATAATACTATTTTTTAATATATTATATAAGTGAATCCATAGATATATAATTAGCATTTAAAATATATAATTTATTAAATTTATTATCATTATTGATTTTATTTATTTATAAATCCAACAGATTATGTTCAATTTACAATATAATTATAATGATTACAGTAATAATAACATAATATAGCAACAGTCAGTTTTTTTAATAATGAAGGTTAAAATAAAATAATATTCATAATTATTAATTATTTATTGCATATTTATATAAACTTAAAAGTAGAATAAAGAGTAAAAATTATATATTACAAAAATAATATTAAAGAATGTAAAAATCAATAAATGTAGAATATATTAACTTTCAATTCAATATTTAATATATGTATTATAATATTTTTAATAATGTACTGTTTTTACAATGTGACATTATGGACTAATATACTGACTACCAAATACTACCGTATTACCACCTACCATATTTTTTGGGAAATAAGTATTATCATTGAATATAATATGTGGTATACTATATATACTCAATGATATTATATATGTATCATCTTATTAAATAATTTTAATGTAGAGGATGACTCACCAAGTATGCTCATCTCTATTTTCTCTTAAATAATTTATTCAAATTGTGATTTTTGAAATTTTCAAAGTACTATTGTAGAATTTTTTGAACATTTTGATTTTTTAATTATTTAAATCAAAATTTAATTAAAAAATTTCTGGGTTTTTAAAATGTTTATACTGTTGATAATAGTCCTTCAAAATTATTTTATAAAAATCTAAAACTGTTATTGTATTATTATTTATATTAAGGCAATATTTACAAATTATTAAATGTTTATGGAATAAATATTTTTTTTTAAATTTATTATAGTTTTAATATCTTCCAAACTCCATTATCATAGATCTATTATTAATTTAGATTCTTTGAAATTTTCAAAAAAGTCGTAACACTTCCCCAGACATGCCTTACATGATGATCTTCAGTGACCAACCCGCTTACCTATTTTAGCCTTATAATTATTGTTTTTGGCCATCTAAAATTTCTAATTTACATCAATTGTCCAATGGCTTAATAAAAGAACAATTTTCAAGCTGATATCAACAATATTTTTGTTGATATGCGGGAAAGAGTGAAGATAAACTTCAAAACTCATCTATTTCAATGCATTAACCAGAATAGAGGACAACCTAACAATATGATTTTTAAAACATACAAATAAAAACTTTAAATGTCTTTTTATAACATAGGAAACAAATTAAACTAATTTATCTTATTCTGTTTGTATAATTAATTTTTTAATAAAATAATTTTCCTCTCGCACTTTCAAAAATGTTGGTTGACCATATAACACTTCTTAAGTAGAATTAAAAGTATAAGTATTTGAAAATATTGAAAATAAAGTCTTTAAGTATATTTAAAAATTCCAAAAATCATATTTAAAATTAATTAATTATATGGATGAACATGCCTGGTGAATTATGTGATGGACATTAGCCAATATTTAATAATATAATTTGTATTTATTTAATAATAACAAATTTTAATTTGGATACATTTATTATTTATTTTCAGTTAATTTAGTCTACTTTTATCTAATATATAGTTTTATCCTGTTTTCATATGTTTAAGTTTTTTTAAAATATCATTATTTATTCAAATAATAGGTTAAGTTAGGTAGATAAAATGTAAGTTGCTCTATGTATAATCTACTAATTATGTTAAATTATTTTAGAAAGTTGGTTTCAAGTCTGACATAGGATATCAAACAATTTTATATGGAAATATTACAGATATGAGAAGAATATTAATGTTTTTAATTGAAAGATTACCTAAAGAAATTGAAAATATCATAGAATACAGAAGTATGTAATATGTATTTATACTTGTTTAATTAAATTATTTTATACATGACTTATATTGAAATTTTTATAAGTTTTAAAAACTACAGTTGTAGAAAAAAAATTTATGTAAGATCACTGATTAATATTTTGCATTTTAAATATTTCCTTAATAAAGTATATCTATATATTATTAAGCTATTAATTAATTTGGCATTATATTTGCAATAATATTGCATTGAATATTCAGTAGACACACATAGTATTTATTTTCTCAATGAAAAATTATATATATAAAATATACCTAGATTTGAAATATGCTATATTTCTAATTTTATTTAATTCATATTTTTTGTTATTTATACAATTAATCTCATCAACATAAAAAAAAAAAATCATATTTAAACTTGGTAACCTATGAATCTTCTGCAACTCTTTATATTATCTCGAATTGATAATTTATTGATACAAAACTAAAATTATTACTAACTAATTATTCTTTAATTTATATGTACTAAAATCATACTTTAATACCTAATATTCGTTTTTTAAAACCATGTTATAATAAAATTTTACTAATGAATAAAACATTATCATAACATTTGGATTTAGAAAAAATATTTATATTTTTTTAATATCATCAATGCTTATAACAATAATATTTATATAATAAGGTAACATGTGAGTAATAATATTTTATTTTAATCTCATTAAGTGTAAAAATTTATACATATATTATTATGTACTCTACTAGTAATATTCATTATTAATTATTTTATTTTATTATTTAGGTAAACGATGTGCAATATTAAAAAAACTTAAAAAAAGCTTATCATCGGATAGAAAACCATTGAACTCTTCATTATTTTCAAACTTTTCATATGTTTCTGTATTATTAGAAACAGGTATTACTGTACCGGGACATAAAAGAAATTGTACACCTGCTGGTAAGGTTTATAATTTATAAATCATATTATATGATTCATATATAATATAATATAGTTAATAAATAATAATTAATAATTACTATTACTTCTACTGCTGAGCTCTTCAAGTCATAATGGCTCTTGGTTTCTAAAACAATTCTTTTCCATTCATCCTGCTGTTTAGTTACGTAAACTAATTTGTTACATATCTTTTTTCAGCTCATCAAACAATCTATTTTTTGAGCAATCCCATCTTCTGGTTATTCCAATTTTTGTATACATCATTCATTTGGTTATTTTATAGACATAATTTGGCCACTCGATCCTGCATAACTTCATATATACTTCACTTTATTTTCTAGAATTTGTTCTGTTTGTTTGTTACTTTTGTTGTCCTTTATCTTACCTTTTTATTCACTCCTCTACTTTTTCCTACATTATTTTTTTTATATATATATCTTTAGCTTATTGCCATCTGATTTTGATAATGTCCAAGTTTCAGCTCTATAACCCACTATGGATCTAATAAGAATTTCATATAGCTTCATCTTAGTAGCTTTTTGACATTAACTTAAAATTGAAAAGTGTAATATTAGTGAAGTATGCATGGTTACCAGTTGTAATTTTTTATTTTATTTCTTTTTACTTATTATTACTGTTATTAAAAGAAGAGCAAGTTAAACATAATTCATTACAGCTCCAAAGTTATCTCTATCCATTGTAATGTTTTACATTCTTTGAAATGCCTCTACTATAGATAGATAGTTTCATGTATTTAGTTTTTTCATTGTTAATTATTAATCCCATCGATCTTTCCTTGTTTACTATACATAGTAAGCCTCTCTCGTGGCATCTTTGCTTCTTGCTATTATTACAATACCATGAGCATAAGCACATATAGTTTATTAATAATGCTTCCTGCCTTTATCATATCTTTTAGCTGTTCATTGAAGACAATATTGAAAACTGTTACATTACCTTGTCTGACCTCAGAGTTCATATGAAGTGGGTTACTCATTGATCCAGTTATTTTGACTTTTGCTAATATATTTGACCATAGAATAACTATAAATTTTAGTATAAAACTAAAGGTTTATATCAGTGTTAAACTTCAAATATTTTTCTATTATTTGTTAAACTACAAAAATTTAATCAGTAGTTCCTTTTCTGCTGTGTAAGCTACACTGCTATTCATTCAATATTTCTTATTGAAAAAATAATTATGTGATCAATTCAGTTAACTTCATTAGATACAGAAATGTTCATGTTTCTCTTTGTGCATATTGTATAACTGAAGTATGAAATTATACAATTAATTTGAATTGCTATTATAGATTTTAAGTGAAAATATTTTTGCCTTTCTCTTTAGTGTTTTTAATTTTATTTATAAAATATGATTTTTCTTATTTTAACTCATTATATAATGTCATTAATGTGATGAATACTTTAGTATGTATTCTGTTACTAAATTTAAATAATAAGATTAATATTAAATTAATTGTTTTGTTTTGTTTTTTAGAATGGAGAAATTTCTGTATCAGCAGTTTAAAATATATTACTGAACAACCATCAGATTCGAAATATTTAATACCTTCATTAATTACACTTAATACTAAAAGATTGCTGAATATTTATGAGTTTGAACATAAAACAACAGATGATTTATCAAAGGTAAAAAATAATTATGATATATTAAAATAAATTTCAATAAGTGAATTTAATTCCTACTTTCCTGGGTTTATTATAAAAATTCCATACTAGTATTGTTGTATCAATTAAATTTTAAACATTTTAAAATGCAGTAATTATCAATTATTTTATGATAAACATGTTTTGATAACCTAATAACATATAATATTTTTTTTATACGTGGATTAAATGTTTTCATGATTTAAAATTAAAGTAATAAATATTGAAAATTCATGAATAAAACTTGTTATCTTGAATATCGACCATTGAGATGGCTTTATTTTTGAAAAATATTAATTAAGCTATTTTTTTTAAATTTAATTCATGGCTTTTGTTTTATTGTTGTATCATTTTTATGAAAATAAGTTTTTTAAGTCTATGTTACAGGAACCCATTTTTAATTATAAACCATCCGTCTAAGTTAATAAAATTTAAAATACAAAACTCATCAAGATCTAAGGTTTAATAATAAAAGTTAGGCTGTATCTTAAATATATTTGTATATGTTATTGTAAGATACTTTTTTTTTTTCATTTAAAGATATTGATAAAAATGGTAATTCTTTTTTTTAGAAATAATAGTTCATTCTATTGTTATTCAATATATATAACTATATTAAGTTAAATTAATAATATTGAAGTACCTATTTTAAATTTTAAAAAATTGCCTATATTTTAATCATCTTTTTATAAATGTATCTTGTATCATTTCAAGTTCCTTACCATCTCTATTGTTAATTATATATATAATATAGATTTTCAAACACCAATTAATATTGTTTTATTAAAAATTTTTTAAATTTAATATAATATAGGTTTTTTACATGCATTTTTGGTATTAAATTTATAACATTGTTAAATTATTATTGTTTTTTTTTTTCACAAATCATTTATATATTAATTGATAACTTAACTATATCATATCCATTAGTAGGCGCATAGCTAGGATTGTTTTATAGAGGGATGTTTAAAATTAAAATTTGAATTTAATGAGGAAATTCAGACACTGTCTATTGTAATCACTTCTCTTCGTAATAATATGAAATATAAAATAGAAGAACTATATAACAGTACTTAGTAAATATTTTATTTTCAAATTTCTGGTGTTAGGAAAAGTATTACAACACCAAAACACTCATCCTGGTTATGATATTATCTACTAGGTAATATTCATTGAATATTACTTCAAAGTTCAAATAGTACAAGAAAAATAATACTATACACCATTAATAAATCGGTTTTAGCCTAAATTAATCCAAGGTGAAATAGAAAAAATGAATTTAAAAGAAACAAGTTATTTTAATCCAAAGGTTAAAAGTTTATCTAAAGATGAAGTTGCAAATATATCAAAAGAATCTGAGGCAACATATATTGAAGAGCTAGTTTCAAAAAATAATGAACTAAAAAGTTTATCTTTAAAAGTAAGTTGTTTCTTTGTTAATGATTAAAAATTAATTGTAAATATTTATCATTTTTCTATGTAGCAACATTCCATAAACACAAATCTTATGTCAAAGTTAGAAAAACTAGAAAAAGAAATTGCTGTTCAAGAAAAAAGTTTAAATATTATTGATAATCCCGAGGTTGTTGCTAAATTAAAAAATAAAATTGATATAGCACCAGATAAAATAAAAAGAATGAACAATAAATGGACTAAATATGAAAATGAACAGAAATTAATTTTATCAGAGCTAAATGAAAGATTAAATAAAAAACGAGTGAGTATTTTATTATTTTTTTAAAATTTTTATTCAATGTTCAAAAATATAATTGATAAAGAAATTTTTCAGATTTAATCATTTTATTTACACATATCTCCATCTATATATGGAGCTGAATTTTTATGAGCCCCAGACATTATATGTTCTAGATTCGACTCTGAATTTCATAATAAACTATAGTAAAACAATAACTATACTATCATTTTTCAGTTATAATTACAGAATAAATCATGGTTATCTAAATTCCTGTATAATTATTATTTGCTTACTAATTATGTAATACTAGATATATATCATAACTCTTTATATTTATTCACAATGGAGATACAGTTTATCATGGTAATTAATAGTATTGATATATATCATGAAATAAAATTAAAATTTGAGTTCATAAATATGCTAAAGAGCTCAAAATAAAAATATTGTTTTGCGCTGGAATATTTAAACACTTCTACAAAATGCCTTAATTAACAATTTTTTTAGCATTTCTTATAAAGTTATACGTAATAGATTTATTTATTTTTTTAAAAAGAGAGGAAGACTTTCTACTTTCTCTGATATTCAGTTTTTAATTACGTTACTAAAAACAAAAATAAAAAATTGGGAAATTTTGTGATGTTTAAAATATTATTATAGAATTCAGAAATTTTAAAAAGTTTTATGTGCCCAAAGTTTTCTTCTTTCTAAAAAAAAAAAAAACAATTTTAACTCACATTTAGATTGAATGATGATAAAAAGGTTAATGATAGGTAGGTACTTTATAATACTAAACTAAGTGATTTCTGAACTTAAACTTTATGTACATATAATATATTGCCATTAATAATTAATTTCATTTAAATGTAATACTATAAATAGAATTTTTACTGAACTATTTATTTATGAGTAAAACAAATTTTTTGGAGCATTTAATATCCACATGTAGTAACAAATTGAAATACTAGTTTCAAAAACATTTTAGATTTATGTAGAATTATTGGTTCTAAAAGGGGTCATTGGCATAAATGTATTAGCTAACTGCATGGAAAAATACAATAATAGAAAGAGTCAAAATATTTATTAATGCATTTTATATAATTTGATACATTTTTTTAAATGTTTACAAAAAAATTTGAATTCATAGTAAAGTAATAGGTAAACCTCATTTGACTATGACAAGAGCTTAAGTTGGCCAACCCTTGGACTATAATATTTAATTTAAATACTAGTGTTAATTACTAAAAATATAAAAAAGTAATTATATTATTTTTATAAATTTTGATAATTTTAAGGCCAAAAATATCAAACTAGAAATGGTGTATGGGAATGAAAAATTGAAGTTACAAAATATTTATGAAGATATAAAAAAAAAAGAAGATATTATAAAAATATGTAGGAACGATTTAGACTCAAAGCCAAATTATAATTCAAGGTCTGTGAAATGTTTTTAATTAAATTTAAAATACATAGTAGTTAGTATAAGTATAAAGTAATATATATTATTTAATGCTTAATACATGTTATTTAGATCAAGTTATACACAAAGAATATTAGAAATTATATCTAATATTGAAAAACAGAAAAAAGAAATTAATAAAAATTTGAATGATACCAGGCAAGTTCAAAAAGAAATAAATTCTTTAGATGGTAAAGTAGAACGTTGTTTTATTTCAATTGATGAATTGATGTTTAAGGTACCAAAATATTCTTAATTATATATTATCTTTAAATTTTATAATACTCAAAAATATTAAACAGGTAGCAAAAAAAGATGATACAATCCGTAAATGTTATAAACTATTGGCTGCTATTCATTCTAATAGTTCTAGCATAATAACATCTGTAAAACAGACAGGTACAATTGGAAGAGAAATCAAAGATTTAGAAGAACAGGTATATAATATTTATTTATTAGTTTTGATATTATTTATAATTTATTGCATTACTTTTTTTTTAGATTGAAAATGAAAACTATCATCAAGCCACAGTTAATGTTCAAAAACTTAAAAAAGATTTAGAACTTGTCAAAAATGAACAACTTTTATTATTAAAAAAAATTAACCACTGAAATAATTAAGTTTTTACTATGAATTCTTTTCAATTCCTAAGAATTAATTCATTATATTTTATTGTTAATGTCAAATGTTAAATTCAAGAATTTATCATAGACAAATAATTAACATAATAAATATTATTCTTTGCTTTATATATATATATATATCAGTTATACCTAAGATATATTTTGTGATACAATTTAATTTGTTTTATCAAGAAATACTATTTACGAATTTAAAAAATAAAAAAAATTAAATTTCAATTATATTGATTCTAATCTATTTTTAAATTGAATTGTTGTATCTTAATCCAAAATAAAAATAATTTCCTTCTCATTTACTAAACTAAAAATAATTTATTTTTAGGCATATTCACTTTTTTGTTGTATCATCTGCCATCAACTGTAATCTTAAAATTATTGATAATGATGTAGGTCTTGAAAAGTTGAAGAATAGTTTCATAGGTTGTATGGTTTATATTTCTTTACAATATTAACTTTTTTATTTGTGGTATCTTTGTCTAATCTTAAGATGTTTTTTATATAATGGTTTATTTTCCAAAAAAAAATTATAGGAGCTAAGAGGTGAAATTACGGAAGTTGGTGCCATCCCTAGCCTTCAATTAAAATATAAAAAAAAAAAAGTTGAAATATTTTAACTTTTAAGCTAGGACTCATATTTCTACAGAGTATCATCTAGTTAACAATTACAAAGTAGTGATTAGAAGTAGTCTAAGATATTTTAGCATCAGATTGATTTGACTTAAGATTATAGTATTATCGAGTTATTGTAACACAATAACCTAACCAATTTTTTGAACTATAATAATTTCTTATATTATAAATATACATAATAGTACTTACTGTGCGTGCACATATTATTTAATTTGTCGAAATAATTTAGTTTCATGGAAAACCATGAATAATTTAGAGTTAACAGTATATTTATCTTTTAGCATAAATTATACTAAAAGTTATTATAATTAAAATAATTGAAAAGAATTATGATTCGATACAATAACATATTAATTGACAAACAATATCGTACATTATTGACTGTACCAATAAAATATAACAAGAGTGTAAACCTTGCTATTCACCTAATTCTAATATATCTTATGTCATTGTCTTCAATTTTGCAAAATCTACAGATCCTAATAAGTCTATATTAGTTAATAATTCGTTTATGGCAAATAATAAAAATAAAATGAAGAGAAAATTTAATCAAAATATGTTCTTGGAGTGCTAATTAATGAAAGTTTCATAAATATTTTTGATAAGTTTAAGTCCAACAAATAAAACAAAATATGGAGATGTTAAAATTTAAAGATTTTAACAAATCTGAAAATTGTCATTCTTGATTTTAAATTTTAATACTGCCAAAGTTAAAACACATATTACTATTACAAGTGTTATAAAATGAGCATTTTCCACAGTAAAACATACACCATAATATGTCATTAATATACATTAAATAGAAAAATAATTAAAATTGTAGTATTTATAATTAAAATAGTATTGCAATATAATTTGTAATTCATATTATAATTATTTATTTATTATATGATGGTGTTTTCCAAATAATGGTACATTAAAATGCAAACCATAAGAAAAAGAAAAATATTTCAATCTGCTTCTTTAGTACTTTTAGATCTTTAATAATTCTATTCTATAATTTATTTTACAAATCAAATGAATGCCAATAAAATGATACAGTTCATTTTTATTGAAAATAAAATTCAATAAATAGATATAATATTTTTGCTAATTAAGAATAAACAATTATTTTGGTGTAATATACTGACAATATATAGTTATACATTTAATACCTATAATACTTAGATAATCTCTGAAAATAAAAACTCTCACTTACTAATTTTGCTCAGTTGACTAATAGTCATTTAAACGATAAACATTTTTATACAAAGTATTAAGAATATAACATTGAATCATAAATATTTTAATATAATTGTTTAGATTGCATAAATTGTTACAAAGTTAAATCAGGTAATAACAGAAAAATAACATTTTTTAACTCATATACATACAAATGTAATAAAAAATTTATATTATATGTTATTGGACGGATGTCTTGCTGATTTTGATTACTCAGTGCACTTAAGACCATAAAATTGACAAAATTATATACCAATACATAAGTACATTTATCAAAATCAATGTATGTATAACTAAGTACACGATTAAAAAAAAAATTAATTTAAAAAATATTGATATCTTAGTTCAATGACATTTTAAACATAATATTCAATCAGCAACTGTCTATAAATAAACATTGAAATTCTTTAAATATATATATTTTTATTACAATAATAATAATAATAATAGTTAAAAGAAAATGACCAGATTTGAACATTTAGAATTTATATCACATATTACATAACTTGGATAATTAACCATTCTGTAGAATGTAGATCTTTAACATTTATCAATAATAAGTTTGAAATTATAATATAAGCTCATAGTAATTTTACAATACAAATATAACTATAAACAATATATGTATTACTTAAAATGTTAAAATATATTAACATTAAAGCATCTAGATTTTAATATGACTAGTAGAGAATTATTTTTTAAGAAATTCTTTGGTAGTAATTAGTTTATATGCAAAAATACATATCATTGATTAAAGATAAATAAAGAAAAAATATGAAATTGTGATAAAAAAAAAAAAATAAATAAGTAAAATGGACCAATTAAAAAAAAAAAAAATTGTTTTGATAAAAATAATGTAATAATTTACAATCCACAACTATCAAATATAAAAAAATATATTATCCAACAATATTTAATGTAAAACTTAATATAGATTCTTGAATAAGTAACAAAGATTTTAATATTATTTTCATTTTGGTAATAATTTAATTAATTTAATTTATACATTAAGATTTAATAACAAACAAAATAAAATAAACAAACAATTTTTAACAAAATATAATAATAAAATGCCTTAGTTTAAGAAATAATAAAAGATCAATTCAGTTGATAATTTGGTATATAATTATCAAATTATAAAGGTAAATTTTATTTTATTGTTACACATTACTAATTTTGTAATTCTTTAAAAAAAATTGTATAATATTGGGTTTAATGAGTATTGGCTATCGTTTATATTGAAAATTTTTATTTTAATAAAAAAATATCAACATTTTTTTATTAAAACAATGTATAATGTATCTATTCAATCTAATTTGATTAAAATTAATATATAATTTTACATTTTTTTACTATACGGATAATCAAAAAAACCATCATAAAATATATTTATATTAAATTTGGTATATTTACTTTTTCAGTTTTTACGTAATTATAAATCCTTTAAAAATTTCAAATATATTTATTTAATTAGTTGTTTATACTTGTATACTGTATTATCATACAATAAAACATTTTTATGAGTTATTAAATAAAAAGTTTAAGTGAAATGATTGAAATACATTTCTTTTATAGCTAATTTAATTATTATTTTTATTATTTAATAAATCAATAATGAAGATATTATGTACCAAATAATCAGCTCTATCACTCTTTAAAAATGATATGAAATGATATTTTATAGAAGTATAGGAATAATAATTAAAAATAGCTAAAAAATGTCATAAAAAAAATATATATGTTAGTGTATAAATATTAAAATATATTAAATTAATTTAAAATAAAAATGATTGTGATGTTTGATTAAATGTATTATTATATATTAATGTTAGTAACATATGGTAAATAGTGATGAACTGTATATATTAGTAAAAAGTAAACTATGAAATTATATCAGTATGGTGTTGTTGATGTGGTTGTTTGCTTATGAACTACTACATTTCCTTGCGCGATTTCTCCAGCTTGAATAGCTTGATATTTCAATAAAGCATCATATCCATATGCAAACATTGCAGCAAATCCAAATAACTATATTAGTTTAAAAATATATGTTAAAACTGTTTTAGAATTCATTTATCAATAAAATGCTACCTAAATAATTTATGTTAAATAATAAATAAATAAATAAATAGTAATTTAAAGAATAATAAATAATGAAAAAAGCTAGATTTATAAATTAATAAAAATACCTAAATAATGTTTTTAGGCTGAATTTACATGATAAAATATATAAGCATTTTGTGACTTATGTATTTTAAGTAATAAATATATAAAGGATTCACTAATCTATTAACAATTTCACGAAGAATAAAAAATAAATTGTCATCATTAATTCAAATGTAATTATTGAATTAAATATTTTGATATTCCGATTCCTTTAGTTTTACAGTATATTAAGATAAAATATTTAAGGCCATGTGTAAATTTTGATGAAAAAATTTGTTTTCTCATTTAAAACCAAACATTTTATAAAATTAACTAATTTAATGTTTACACTATTTATAGTTTTATACATTTATTTAATAAATACATATATAGTTTAATTTTTACTTTTATGCATTTATCTTTTCTTTGTTAGGAGAGAGGGAAAAATGATCTAAAGATTATTAACTAAAGAAAATTTAATTAATTAGTTCATCTAAATAAGTATTAAAATATAAACATAATAAAAAATTTTATTATAAAATATTATTTTAATATTTTATATTTGTTATAAAATAGCTTAAAAATATAATTTTATAATCATATTAATCAGAATTATAAAAAAAATTAAGTCAAACTTTTGAAATACAAATACCTAAGGACAAGAATTATTTGAATTTTTAAACAATAATTGAAAATATAATATATCTTTCAAAAAAAAAAAATAACTTCATGATATTTTTTTTAAATAAAAGTGTTGGCAAATAAAAGTTAAAAATATTAGGTTTTAAGTGTTTAGAAGTAATTAATAGTCGTAATAACTTAAGAGAAAATTTTAATAATTTATTTTATGGTATAATATCGAGCTTTTATGATATTTATATATTTTTTTAGATTTATTTTTGTATGACAGATATAAGAAATATTTTTTGATCCAAATTTAAAATATCTATAAAACTCCATAAATAATTAATACAATTTTAAAAATAGCAGATTGTCATAAACTCATCAGATAAACTAAAAATATGGTTCATACAAAAACCTTGATGATAATTTTATCATTAACACATACCAAACTTATCAAGTAGCTAAAATGTAATCCAGTATAAGCTGCTGCAGATGATGCTGATAAAAGGTAAAGTATTGGCCAACAAACATCAAAAATCATCTCCTAAAATTAAATTAAAAAGTAACATGGTAAAATAATTACAAAAAATTGTTAGAATCTTATCAAGATATATAATATTATAGTATACATTTTTTGTTTAAGAATACTTACAATTTTAAGCCATGGTATTTTATAAAAACATTCGACTACATGAAATACATAGAACACCAACATAAATAAAGAAAACCAAAATCCAAACATTGATATTGATGTGACAGCACTATTTTGATACCACATACTATACGTAGAAAATGACACTGCTATAAGACTTAATAAAACAAACACCTAAAAATAAATATAATTATATTAATAAATAATTTAAAATCATTAAAAGGCTGGTATTCAATATTGTTTATAATATATTTAACCTTGTTTTTTTTATAATATGGGATATTTGAATTAAAATTGGATGATTAACTTAATAATTAAGAATATCAGAGATAAAAAAATTATTTAAAATTTAGAAATTTTATAATATTACACACACAGTAGAACCTAGATATTTTAATTAATGGTTAGCAATTTAGTACAGTTCAATATTTTAGAATGTAAAACAAAAAATATAATAGATTCTTTAGAATCAAAAGTTATAACCAGAAGAATAATTAAATTTATTAAATAAACAATATTTTTTTGATACTTATGACTTGTTGAAATAAAAAAAAACTTCCTAACTTAAGATATGTTATAAAAATTGAACGTATTTGGTACTTTTGAAAAGTCAATTTTTTATTTTTATAATAATTCTAAAAAAAAAAAACTGCAGCACAATTTAATGACATTTATTATGAATAACATATTTTTTTTTTTTTTTAAGGATTATTATTTAAATTAAATTATAAATTGATAACTATTTTAAAATTTATTATTGTTAAAAAAAATCTTAGGATTTATAAAAAATAGTTTATAAAATTATTTATACTATAGTTTCAAAAACCAACGCCTACAATTTAAATAATACTAGTTATAATTTAAATATCAACACACTATTTGTTTTCTTTCTCTAATCTGCATATAATAAAGTAAAATTTGAGTTCAATAGAACCAACCTTATATAATTAGATTGAGCATTGGAGTAATCAAAAAATAAAAAACATATGTTCTTACGTTGACATTTTTTACATATATTTAAATTTTAAAACAAGATATGAGCATTAAAATGTAGAAATTAAAATAACAAAATGTAAATTTTCATAAATACATAACTCGCCAGGGCCGGATCATAACTTTTTAACACCCGGGGAAAATGAAAAATATACGCCCATTTCAAGAAATTTGGCAAATGACCAGAATTTTTTTTTTTTTTTATAAAAAATCAAACACACTCACATATTTTTTTGTAATAATATTTCTTATAATTATATTTATATTAATTAATATTTAAATAATTATATTCGGTTAATATTTTTAAGTTCAAGGTTTAGAAAAAAATAATATTGGTAATAATAACATATAATATAAATTATTTGTTAACAAATTTAAAATATTTACTGCTTACTTTTAACATAAAAAGCTTTATGTAAATGAACAATATTTATACATTTTTAATATTTGTTACAGTCAAACCTTCATATGTATCTACTTGAGTACAAAAAAACTACAATGAAAGAAAAATATAACTAAGAACTGAAAATTAAAATAATATAATAATTATTTATTAATTATGGATTAAATGTATATGTATATATTAAAGTATATTATTTTACATTTTCTAGATTTACAAAATATGAAACTTAATATTTAAAACTTTATTTTTCTGGCTTTGATTGCAGAAAAATTATCAATAACTGAATCAAAATCAACTGTCTTTGTGATCTCTTTTTCGATTGATAGAAGTGACAAGTTAGTGAGTCTGTTTTGGTTCATCGTTGATCGTAAATAGGTTTTTATTAATTTAAGTTTACTAAAACTTCGTTCACATGATGCGGTAGTACAAGGCAATGTTAGATACAAACGAATAGCAATACAAATATTAGGGAATATGTCAGTCATTGAATACTCGTGTATTAACTCCAAAATGTTTAATGGACTTTGATTTTTAAGGTCAGGTAACATACTTAATGCAAGGTTTTTAAAGTTAAGTATTTCCGAAGTAAAGTCTGAAAGATTTAAATCGTTGTCATATTTTATAGCTAGATCAGCAGCAGCTTTAATTAAATAATTTGAATCTCTCTCAACGAGGTCAGCTCCATTTAAAAATCCAAAGTCAGAAGATATTTGATTGAGCTTTTCAAATCTCCAGTTCATATTCATAGTTAATACATCACAAACATTTTTTAAATTTATAATACAATTTTTTTTTGAAGTCGCATTCCAGTCGTCTGTAGATTCTTCAAGATCCAATAGTTTTACTCGTTTTATTCTTTTTTGAGGAAAATCAGTTGCAATACCCATTTTTGTAGTTAATTCTTCAGCACTTTTAAATAATGTTTCAAGTCTGTTATTTCGCAAATCGGTAATTTCATTAATTAATCCTTTAATTAGATTTGCAGCTTTATTGATTGTTAATGATTTCGATTGTAGACAAACATTAACGCGATCAATGCTTGAAAGGATAGAATTCCAAATAGATAACAAGCAAATAAATTCATAGTCAATGGATAATAATAAACTTTTAGCCAAAAATATTGATTCAGCATTACCTTTTTCAATTATATTATTAAGGGCATTTTTTACTTCAGGTAATTGTGTAAAAACCGCTTTTATAGCTACAGATTTAGAAGACCATCTTGTATCAGAAAATGGTTTAAGTGTGAGTTTCAATGATTTTAATTCTTCCCAACGAGAAGGTGAACCCGCAAAAAAATTGAATAATTGTTGAATCTTGCCAAAAAAGTTTTTCATTTGAACATTAGATGATGCAGCGTTGACACCAGCCAAATTTAAACTATGAGCAGTACATGGTACAAAAGTAGCCAAACTATTTTTTTCCATAATTTTCGCTTGCACACCTTTATACTTCCCTGCCATATTTGCTCCATTATCGTAAGCTTGGCCTCTGCAGTTTTGTATATTTAAATCATCATCAGATAATTGAGTTAATATTTCACTAGCTAAACCTTTTCCAGTTTTTTCATGTGATAAAATAAATCCTAAAAAACTTTCTTCTATACAAACTTTTCCGTTAGAAATATGAACATAACGGATAACTTCACTCATTTGTTCCCTTTTGGAAACATCAGGTGTACAATCGAACATAATAGTAAAATATTTTGCAGACTTGATTTGATTTATTATTTTTTCTCTGACCTTTTTAGATAATAAAGAAATAAATTCATCTTGAATGTGATGAGAAAAATAAGATACAGAGCCTTTCTTGTGGGATTCAATATGTTGCCTTAATACTCCATCAGATTTACTTATTAAGCTAATTAGATTTAAAAAATGCCCTGCTGCTGGATTACCTATATCTTCTGAATTTCCTCTTAAGGCTAGATTATTATTTGCACAATAAAGTAATACATCTAATATTATTTTTAAAACATGTCGCCATTTTTCTTGTTCTGATTGTATTTCTTTCTGTAGGGAGTCATCAATACCCCCTCCTTTCAGTAGTTTGTTTTCAAGCATTTTCCATTCTAAATAATGTTTTACATGGTCTTGAGAATCTTCATGTTCTTTTAAGCGCTCCATTTTCTTCCAACACGAAAAACCTCGTTTGGGATCACTTAAAGCAGTAAATTGTTTACCAAATAACATACAACAAAAGCAAAAAATTGCGTCATTTGGTTGTGAATACATCATCCATGATCTTTCAACACTTTCTCCATTAGGTAATTTTTTGTAAAACCAATGGTTTTTAAAAGGCTTATAATCTAATTTACCACGATTTGGGCCATTTTGAACTAATATGCACCTTAACTTATCAGTTATAGTTGGCCACGATTGAGGATTATTAAATATTATTTCTGGAGGTTGTAACACATTTATTTCTTCATCAACAAGTGATTGTTTCTCCGTTTTCTCTGTTATACCATGTGATAAATCATTATCAACTAAAATATTTTCATCCATCTCTAGAGGTATTTCTTGAAAACTTAATTCATTGATATTTGATGTTTGTTCAATTTGACTACAACCACTATCAATTTCAATTTGAATACTTTCATTAATCTTTTGAATTTCAGAAGCCCCATCTTTTAATGTATTGATTTTTTGTTCGTTTTTAACGTTGAACCATTTACTTTTAGATTTCTCCCATTGTGTTGCTAGTTCTTTAGCTTCTGCTTCTTTTTGCTTCTTTTTGTTTCGGAAATAAGAACCCGGTGGTCTTTTTGACATATTGAGCTTTAAAAATAAATCAGATGAAGAAAGGAGCTTAATACAAAAAACTAACCAAATAGAATATATGAGACTGCACAAAAAAGCTTAAACAAAATAGAGGAGAAAGTATACATATCAAAAATATATCTCTATAAATTTATTTATGGTTTATTTACAAATTTTAAATAGAACATAACAGTATAACATTAAGGAGGTATAATAATTTGTTTTTTTAATTTCTTAGCAATTATCATTCTGATAAGCAATAATGTAACTAGAAGTACACCTACAGTAAAAAAATGTACAAAAACAATACGTACCTACAGTTAAAACTTAAAACATAAGTACATAACAATATTAATTACTTATAATTAGGGAACGGATTTTATTGTAATAAAAAAATCAATATATGTACCAACTTTTCTTAAAATATGGAATAAAAAATCCAAAATTACAAAATAAATTACAAAATAATAAATATTTAAAAAATTAATATAAATAAATAATGATGTAGGTATATAAAATTATGAATATTATTCTGGAACAAATCAACAAGAAACAATATATTATTGTAGGTTTGCAAATAAAAAATTACGACGGTTTTGTCGGATAATATTTTTGTATTGGCTATAAAAGACTGCTCCACATCAACAGATGTGATAGGGGCATTATTACTTATTCACTATACAGAAGAAGTGTATTCAATTTCTATAGATCCTTGTTAAATTTTTTCTATTAAAATATCTCTGTCAAAAATTACATATATTGTTTTAGACGAAGTAGAATTGATGAAACGTCATCGAAAATCAATGACAAACTAAAAAATTACAAATATGTACTTATTTACCAAATATGTAAAAATATATAAAATAAATTTGGATTTATTTCAATTAGAATGATCTAAATCATACATATTTTTTTATCAGATCTAAAATATCTAATTTTAATAAAAATATGTATTTACAGTAAAATTTGTTCCCTACATTAAACTATTAAAAAATATGTGTTTATAAAGAACTTATTTAAATAAGAACTTTTAAATTTTAACATGCATGGAAACGTTTTTTGTTAAATTCGCGATACTGGAATAGGTACTAAATAATTTTAAATAGTAACGCGTTATATTATAGAAATTAGTTGTCAAAAGTTATTTCCATTACATTTTCGTTACTTGGAAATAATTCTAATAAAATTACGTAACGTTTTACAAATTAAGTAACGCGTTACTTCTTTTACGTTACTACCCAACACTGCAAAACATGTATAACCAAAAAAAAACATAAAATACAAAAATAAAAAATTATTCCAAAAAAAGTTGCCCTGCGGGCTGCGATGTAATAAAGTTCCATAACAAATACTAGATAATATTCACAAGTGTTCTTAATAAATAAACTATTAACTACATACAGATTAAAAAAATAGCAATATTGTTAATTTTTTTTTTGTACTAACCTGAGTACTAATTACTAAACACGGACGAATGACGATGATAGTTGGCTGTTACAGTGTCAAAATTAAAATGAAATTCGGCTAAACTGTTTTTATAAGCTAATACAGGCTATATTATTAATATAACACATTAACACGGACACATGAAACGACGATAGACGAATCACAATACAATGATAATAAAATAAAATTCAACGATATTTTAATTTCCCACTTATTTAAATAATTAATATTTTATTATTAGATCGGCTGGGACAGTCAATCCCGCTGATAGTAGTGCACGGGTATTTCCAATGCAATGCGTACCTATTTGTCCATTTTAAAACAATGTTATTACTTGTTAAAATTAAAAATAATATAGTATTATTTTATTCACATGCACATTATTACATACATTTCTTTAAAAAAAATATTTTGTAGTTATGACTTTTGTATCAAAGTCCATTTAAAATTTTAAATTTTAAAATTTAAAACCTTCAAAATACGTTCACGGAAATTATACGCCCGGGGATAAATCCCCGACTTCCCCCCCCTAGATCCGGCCCTGTAACTCGCAAAAAAAGTTTTTCATTAATATATAGATAATGTTATTAATTTTAAATTGGATAATAGATCAATTCACTCTAATACTAAAGCTAAAAATACAAGATTAATTTTACTAAACTTAAGTTTGCAAATGTTCGTAAATATTCTCTTTAAATTAATATACTTTAAAATGTATTTACAGGTATTTCATGATAAAATTGTTCTTAATTTAATTATAAACAAGTGCAATATTATTAGCGTTACAAATTTGTTGATTCTTAGTTTATCGTACAGATAACAAAATCAGTCTGCATTAAGTATTTTATTTAATTCCTTATAAGTAATTTTAACAAAAGTTGAAACAAAATATTTTATTTCAGAAAAATAAAGAACATAATTTATATAATTAAATATAAAATAGAAGATAGGTTAACATCATAAAAAAGTATTTTTAATACTTAAATTTTTAATTTTATTAAATAAAATATTAATTACTATTAAATTCCTATTTAATTACTAATTATTTCAGAAACTCCAAATTTTCCTAATTAATGCATTCATTTAATAGGACCCTATTTTACTTTTAATCAATAACCTGTAAGATTTTGGCTTATGTTGGTTGCATAATGAAATTCTAGAGGAGATTTTTCATTATTAAAGAAGGAGGTACACAAAACCCTTATGGCTAAAATGTTGAGACAAATAAAATAAAAGGCTATTATACAAAATAATAAATAGAAATCATACGTAACTTTGAATCAAAATAAATCATGAGTACTACTGTATATTCATATACAATCTGATGTACAATCATACTTCATATTATTAATGATTATTATGTATTGCAAAACAAAAAAGTAATATGAGAGTGCATTTCCTTTACTTAAAAATCAATTACAAAAAAAATTCAAGGATGTTGGATTTATTATATGCATCCACCAAATAACTGAATATTTAAAGATTTTTTTTTTTTTTTTGAATATGAAAACAATCTTTTGTGGAATATTTATAATTATTATTTACTCAAAACAACATTTTTACCCTAAAAATAATTTTTAATGTAATATCTTTTATTTGTATATATTAATATTTAATAATGATAATGCATAATTAATACATGTTTATAAATTAACTATAGGTATTTTTTCTTTTTTTTTTTTGTAACCCTTTAAATTTGTGTAAGTACACTTCTTTTAAAACATCAAAATTATAAAATTGGCGATAAGCCATATTAATTATTATTATTATTAATTACTGAGTTATAATAGTATTATTTATACAAATTATCCAAGACTATAATTAATTATAAAGTTGCAAAATGTATACTAAGTTTTCAAATATTGACATTTAATTTTAAATACTTACAATTTGGGCAATTTTCAATTTCCCTTCTAATGTGTATAAGTATGTATTGTCATATCTCAGGTTTGAAATAATTTCAGTATTAGTGACAGTAGTGGTTGTAGTATGTTGACTTGGGAATCCAGGATCGGCCATTTTTAATTATTCAATCACTATAAATAAAAAAATTAGATGAATAAAATTTAGTTCTAAAATTAATTTTGTATAAAATAATTTACCTAAAAAGTTTTTTTCATAATTCAAAATAAATGTCTTACACAATATATTTTAATAATTTAGCAAAGATAATTCTTAGGAAATGTATAAATTCCAAAACACCTTAAGATTTGTTAGTTTCTGACTAAAATATATTGTTTATCAGAAATTGTTAAAAAGTAAATATTACCTAGGAATTATGTACATTTTACAGGGAGTAGGAAATAAAAAAAATCTTTAACCTAAGCTAAATAAAGGTGAAATAGGTATTATTTACATACCTAATTAATATTTTTATTAGTATATTATAAATTAGTTAAAATATATTTAAATAAGTACAGAAAAATAATATAAAATAAGCAAAGAAAATATAGTTAAATGTATAAGTTAGTATTGGTAAATAAGACCTGCATATTTTTTCGTTGTATGATATTTAAGTCAATAAGTAATGAAATGGTAATGATTATTAAATTAATATTGCAATTTCTACAGTAAACAGATAATTTTAATAGTACTAAATCATTCTAGACAGTGCCTAATTATCACAATTGTATTAATACTCAAATAGGATAATGTGTCTCACTGAAAATTACAGATTTTTATTTTCTATTATTATTTAAAAACGAATAACTGTAAATCCTTTAAAGTTTTTACCAAATGTTTATATTTTCATTTTCTTTGAATGATAAAATGTTTAAAACTTTTTTTTAGCTATTTATAAGCATGAGAAATTTTTGATTTCTTTTTTATAAATGTTGATAAAAAGTTATTTGCCGGGTAAAAATTCTTAAAAATTGTATTAAAGGTTCCACATAAGTTGTTCTTATGTGTGCATAAAATTATTAAAAATATATAGGTACAATTTTATTGTATTTACATTTAAAGTTCAAATTTGAATAAAATTACATATTTCATTGATGAAAACCTATATTAAATAATTTTTTTTATAATTCAAAAAACATTATTTGAGGGGATTTAACACTTTTACTTGTATTATGAATTTTAGTATATGTAATGATAATTTTGAATATGTAAATTAATTTGAAGGTATTATTTATGAACTCATTCACACTGTTTTATGATAAGGTAGTATTAACTCAAAAGTTATTAAAAATAAATATGATATTATTTCCTGTTATTATAATAAATAGAATATTTTTAAAAAATGTTAAATAAACCTAACATAATATTAAAATTAAAATAAATAACTAATAACTATATCAAAAAACATAACATAAAATATACTTAATGATATAAGCTGACAGATTGTCTTTGATCAGAAATATTTTTTGTTATGATAGTAGGTATAATGGTTTATCATTGAATTCAAATTTAACACTCATTTAACATTTAATATACAGCAAATATACCTAATTACCTACCCTTTTTAATTACTTTTAAACTTGATATATATTTATACTTTGTTCTTTCAATTATTTCATTAACATTTTGGTTTCTGAAAAGTAACTAAGTAAAATTTTGTTTAACAATCTCAAAAGAGTTACTATATTTAATATCTAATGGCAATAAGTTGTAAATTTTTGGATAGATATAAGTATCTAAATTATGTTAGTTTTTTCTGAATAGTGAAGTGTACTTAGATATTAAATATTATTAGTTAAGTATTATTTTTGATAATATAAAATACATAGCTGAAACATACATTAAATTGTTTCTTAGCTACATCAAACAATTTTAATTTTTTAAATACCAGCATATTAAATATGCATGCATATTATTCAGTGACGTTCCTAGACCCTTTTATAGGGGGGGGGAAACACACATATATATATATATATATATGAAAATATACCAATTTATAAGAAAATAGAGGTCATGGAGGGGGCGACTGCCCTATTCAACCCCCCCTTAAAGGACGCCGCTGATATTATTGCATCAAGCTGCATCACAATACTAAGTGAAATAAATAAGATTTTTTTCATAAATTGAATGTCTAGATTATGAATAAATAGATATCAATTTCATATAATGGACAATACCAAAATTATATACTTTAAATAATTCTTACAAGTAAGTTATTTATGAAAAATATATTGTTTTGAATATTGATTATTTATAAATAACATTCATAATTATAAATGTATTTATATGTTATAAACAATTTTTGAATTAATCAATGAATTGTATTAAAAGTGGCAAATTTAATTTATGTTATCTCAGAACAAAAACAAAAAGAATTATATAAACTTAGATGTATAAATTACATAAAAATTAATTTTATACATTTTTAACTACAAAATAATTTGTAGTCTATCACAAATTTCATAATTTTTATCAAATTTTGAATTACAAATGTATATAAAAAAAAATTGTAACAATGGGTCCAAATATTTTTATATGACTATATAATAACTTCAGAAAAATTATGTATTAAATGTCTAATCTTTTTAATCGAGTGAAATGATATCAATATTTAGAAATAAAACAAAAAATATCAAATATCAAAGTCTACATAAAGTTCAAAAAGTAATGATATTTTCAATTATACAATGTATAGAAAATTTTAATATAAACATTCTGAGAGCATTTCATGTATATAATGTTATTTTATTTTATATTACAACGAAAAAAGAAAATGCATATTTTACAAGAAAATTTGGTCAAAATTTAAACTTTACATATTTATAAAAAATAATTATAGTAACTGTAAACTTTTTTGTTTAATTTTAGTAAAAATAACTTATAAGGAAATTTATATTAAATGTATTTATCTGTAATATTAAACATTTTAAGAATTTAAACAACATAATTATTTGCAAATTGTTTGCAATTTTTACTTCAACACTTTTTGCATAATAGCGACCAAATTTATGTAGAGGTTTATGCAGTCATACAAAAAACAACTAGGTGAAAAAATTTAAAAAAATTTTATCTAGTCAATTTTTGTACAATGGTTATTTAAAATTTCAATTGCAATTGTTAATGAAGTAATTATTAAAGTAAAATCATATGCTTAAAAATATAAAATATTCTAAAAAAAATACATATTTTACAAATCATCAATTCTTGCCAAATAATAATCACAAGGTTAGGTTAGAAAAACTATTATTTCACAATACTTGTTGTACAGATTCATACAATCTCATCAAAATATTTTTTTCTTGTTACACATGTCTTTTGTGTTTAATTTATATTAATATACATGCTATTAAATAATTTCTATTTGGAGTAGTGACCAGTGGGTACAATTTTGATTTATAATTAAGTTTTAAAAAGTACCTAAGTACTTTAGTTTTGTCACATTTTACTATTATAGTTCTACCTACCATACAAATTATTATAATATAATTTTAAGATAAGAGCATCTAATTATTTAAATTATTCACATGCAAACATGAAATCTTACTTATTGTTAATCAAAAAAAAAAAATTAATCTATACTGTGTACATTGTATAATATACAATGTGAAAGTACATAGTATTATCACCCATTCACTCATCTATATAAACTTAAAAATCATCGTCCTTGATCAGATTTTAAACATATCAAACAATAACACACAATTTTGGCTTAGTATTTATAAAATATATGTCAAGTATAGCACTTAAATAAATTGATAATTAGATAGATTTCACAGCAATCGAGAAGACGATGAATTGTTTACTTTCTAAATTGTTTACAAAAGAATTACCCATTGCGAGCAATAACCATCTACAGCTATAGTATTAACATATACTATCCTATCAAATGAATCATAATAGGCGATACGTCGGAATGTGACCAAATTTGGTAATTGGCAGGAAAGCAAGGAAAAACAGATAAGTACCTACATTAATAATGATACTCGGCGTACAATCAAACATGCATACACATACAGACAGTATAAGATAGTACTTACGCGGTTTAGGACGAAAACCACAATATTTACGATGGAATCGAACGTGATGGAGAGAAGGTAAACAGTAATGTCGAAAATTAAAATCCTACAGGACCCGTGATGATTAAGTGACAAACGATTGATGTATCAATTAGTAATTTAATGTAACAGGTATCACTACATACACGCACACACCGAAAAAAATGTTACGTAAAAATTGATGATAATAAATAATAATATGATATTGTCGTAAAAAATAAAAATATAAAGGTAGGTACTTTATGGCGAGGATTTCTGATAACACTCGACAAACCGCTGAATAAAGTAAATATCCGTCGAGCTCGGAGTGCTAGGACATTAACTCACCGGTGGTCGGGCGAGTGCAAGCGGTGTTAGACTTCCGTTCGCGGGCCAACGCTCCCGAAATGGTGGGAGTATTTCAAGTTCTCCCCACCCTGATTACGCGTCACTACGCTAATTAATAAGCTAACGCAACACCCATAGACATAATAATATTATAAGAATGCCAGCGTCCAGCACGCCATTTGTTTTCTCTCTCCAACAGCCCGACCCACGCGTGACATAACAAATTTATGTTCACCATAACGTCCAGAACCAACCTTGTATAACTTGTGTTGTTAGCAACTAACAAGTCAAAATCATATATAACTTATTCTCAAACACTCCGTGTTTGTTTGTGGTGGCGCCATGAAGTCAGGAACCATATAATATATTATTGATGCCCCTTATAGCCATGAACTGATGAACACACAACTTTATAAATTGTTTTTAAGTAAAATAGTAAAAATATTTAATTTTGCGGTTGCTTTAGTGCCCATAGGGCATAGACTATAGAGTATAGGTAGGTAGACTACAACGCCTACAACCACAATACATTTTATGTGTTTATGAACTATCTATAATAATTTGTATGCACAAAATTTAGAATTTAATTTTTTTTACGTAGATACCTCGGTACCAATTACCATTATCCGTTGAGTAAATTATTACCATAGATTAAAAAAAAATGTATTTTTTTTCCAGATATGCTATTACTAATTATGCTCTCAGTATATTATTATCTATATACCTACCTAAAAC